TGCACTTCCTTGATGGGTGACTAATGTTGCTGAGCATCTTTTCATGTGCTCTTTAGCCATTTGTTTATCTTCTTTGGAGAAATGTTTATTCATATCCTTTAAGTGGGTTATTTATACTTTTATTATTGAGTTGTCTTTTCATTTACTTGGGTGTTCTTTAATTTCTTCCAACGATGCTTTGTAGTTTTCAGAATATACGTTTTGCACTTCTTTTGTTAACTTTATTCTTAACTATTTTATTATTTTTGATGCTATTGTAAATTAAATTGTTTACTTAATTTCATTTTTTGCATTGTTCATTGCTAGTGCATAGAAATACAACTGATTGTTGTATGTCAGTTTTGTATCTTACAACCTTACTGAACTCATTTATCAGTTTTATATTTTTTTAACAGATTCCTTAGGATTTTCTATATACAAGATCATGTTACCTGCAAATAGAACTCGTTTTTCTTATTTCCTATCTGCATGACTTTTATTTAATTTTCTTGCCTAGGGACGCCTGGGTGGCTCAGCAGTTGAGCAACTGCCTTTGGTTCACGGCATGATCCCAGAGTTCCAGGATCGAGTCCCACATCAGGCTCCCTGCATGGAGCCTGCTTCTACCCCTGCCTATGTCTCTGCCTCTCTCTCTCTGTCTCTCATGAATAAATAAAATCTTAAAAAAATAATAATTTGGGCAGCCCGGGTGGCTAAGAGGTTTAGCACCGCCTTTGGCCCAGGGCATGATCCTGGAGTCCCAGGATCGAGTCCCATGTCAGGCTCCCTGCATGGAGCCTTCTACTCCCTCTGCCTGTGTCTCTGCCTCTCTCTCTCATGAATAAGTAAATAAAATCTTTAATAATAATAATTTTCTTGGCTAATTGCCCTGGTTAGAACCTCCAATACAATGTTGAATAGAAACAGAAGGAATAGATATCCTTATCTTCTGATCTAGGTGAGGAAGCATTCAGTATTTTACCATTAAGCATGATTCTAGCTGTGGGTTTTTCATAGATGCTCTTTATCAAGTTGAGAAAGTTCCCTGCTATCCCCAGTTTGTTTAAGGTTGTTCTTTTTTTAAGTGTTTCATTTTAATTCCAATATAGTCAGCATATGGTGTTACATTAGTTTCAGGCATATGACTTTCTTTTTTTTAATCATGAAGTGATTAAAAGTGATTGAATTTTGTTAAATATTTTTTCTGCATCTATTGAAATGATCACATGGTTTTTATCTTTCATTCTACTGATACATTAATTGATTTTCAGATTTTTGTCTTAAGAAAAAGAGAGAGAGAGAGAGAGAGAGCACCTGTTGGGGGGACAAGGAGGGGAAGAATGAGATGGAGAGAATCTCAAGCAGGCAGCACACCCAGTGGGACTGCACACTGAAATGTGGGACTCGATCTCACAACCCTGAAATCATGACCTGAGCTAAAATCAAGTCAGATGCTCAACTGACTGAGCCACCCAGGTGCCCCTGATTTTCAGATTTTAAATTAACCTTGGGATAAATCCCATGGTGTGTAGTCCTTTTTATTTATATGTTGCTGCATTTTGCATGCTAGTATCTTGTTGAAGATTTCTGTAACTCTATTCATAAGAGCCAGTTGATGGATAGTTAGATGTTTACAGTTTGGGTCTATTATGAATAATGTTGCTATGAATACTCATGTGCAAGTCTTGTCTTTGCATGGACATGTTTTCATTTCTTTTGACTAGATACCTAGGGGTGGAATTCCTGGGTCCTATGGCAATTTTAGCTTTTTAAAGATTTATTTATTTGAGAGACACAGAGAGACAGAGAAGGAGAGAGAGAGGAGGGGCAGAGGGAGAGAGAGAATCTCAAGCAGACTCCCTGTTGAGCTCGGAGCTGGACTCAGGCCTCAATCCCATGACCCTGAGATCATGACCTGAGCCAAAATCAAGAGATGCGGCTCCCTGCATGGGGCCTGCTTCTCTGCCTGTGTCTCTTCCTCTCTTTCTCTCTGTGTCTCTCATGAATAAATAAATGAAATCTTAAAAAAAAAAATCAAGAGATGCTTAACCAACTGAGCCACCCAGGTGCCCTGGTAGTTTTATCTTTTTGAGGAACTGCCAAAATGTTTTCCAAGTGGTGGTACCCTTTTATATTCCCATCAGCTAAGTATGAGGGTTACCTGAGAATTCATTTAAACTAAATGTTTCGGGACACCCAGGTGGCTCAGTGGTTGAGTGTCTGCCTTCGGCTCAGGGCGTGATCCCGAGTCCGGGATAGAATCCCACATCCGGCTCCCTGAGAGGAGCCTGCTTCTCCCTCTGCCTGTGCCTCTGTCTCTCTCTCAACTAAATAAGTAAAATCTTAAAAAAAAAAAATAAACTAAATGTTTCTTCATCTATAAACTGGTGGTAATAACTGACTTCATATAAACTCAGGGAGATTATGATGTGTGAAGGATTTAGCATGGCACTGGGACCAGACACACATAAATCTCAACACATGACAACTTTTTTTTATGTTCCCTTGTCTTTTATTTTTTATTTTTTTTTATTTTTTTTTTTTTATTTTATTTACGATAGTCACAGAGAGAGAGAGAGAGGCAGAGACACAGGCAGAGGGAGAAGCAGGCTCCATGCACCGGGAGCCCGATGTGGGATTCGATCCCGGGTCTCCAGGATCGCGCCCTGGGCCAAAGGCAGGCGCCAAACCGCTGCGCCACCCAGGGATCCCTATGTTCCCTTGTCTTTACTAATGTCCTAAACTTCAGACCTGGCTTCATCTACCTGGATGAGATTATCTTCATGCCTTCCGCGTAAACTGACTTATTTTTTTTTTAAGATTTTATTTATTTGAGAGAGAGAGAACACGATCAGGGGGAGGGTAGAGGGAGAGGGAGAAGAAGACTCTCTGCTGAGCAAGGAGCCATGTGGGGTTTAATCCCAGGACCCTGAGATCATGACCTGAGCTGTAGGAGCTGCATAACAGACTGAGCCACCCAGACGTCCCATGTAAACTGACTTCTTGGTGTCAGGTTTCACACCCTTCTCATTAGTCTACTAGTTACTCGTGGTCTAACAGGGCCCTAGGTCTAACCTAGGCCCCCATCCCACTGCCCTCAGGGTTTGTGTCAACTTGTTTGGCTCGATGGGCTTTCCCAGGGCAAAAGCTCCAAATTGGCCAAGCTGGGGCAGCAGACAGTGTTCCATGAAACTCTCTTGTCTGCTGAATGACAGGACAGAAAATATTCATTGCTCTGCTTGGAAGGGATGTCTCCTATCCTCCATATATCCTAATTCCAGGCTAATCCTGTTTATCCTTTAAGTCATAGTTTGGGCATCGCCTCCCCCAGGAAGCCTTTCCTAATGAACCTCCCTCCTACTCCTATAATATAGGTTACTGCAGCCATCACGTTATTTGTAATTGTATTTTTATACATCTGTGTCTCATGAACATCCTAAGGATGGGGACTACTTTTATTTACTTCAATCTCCTCTGTGCCTAGCACATAAGAGGTGTTTAATAACCCATAAAGAACTATATCTGTGTGCTAAGTATTAATGGTTACATTGAGTATCTAAACAAACTATAAAAAAGTCTCTTGGGATGCCTGGGTGGCTCAGTGGTTGAACATCATCTGCCTTTGGCTCAGGTTGTGATCCCATGGTCCTAGGATCGAGTCCCGCATCAGGCCCCCCAGAAGGAGCCTGCTTTTCCCTCTGTGTCTCTGCCTCTGTGTCTCTCATGAATAAAATAAATAAAATCTTAAAAAAAAAAAAGGCTCTTGATATGGGCCTTAAGGAGTAAGCAGGCACCTGCTCAGTTGGAATGGAAGGGAAGGCACACTGGCTGAAGTGAACAGTATGTGCAAAGGGCCAGCAGAGGGAAAACACTTTTTAAAGATTTTATTTATTTATTCATGAGAGACACACACACAGAGAGGTAGAGACACAGGCAGCGGGAGAAGCAGGCTCCATGCAGGGAGCCCGATGTGGGACTCGATCCCAGGCCTCTAGGATCTCGCCCTGGGCCGAAGGCAGGCGCTAAACCCCTGAGCCACCCAGGGATCCGCAGAGGGAAAACATTTTCAGTAACTAAGAAGTCCAATGTGGCTATGGTGGGTGGGACGGAGTGGCCAGTGAGGGCGCAGAGGAGCCATCCCTTAAACAGGAGTAACATAATCAGAACCGCACTTTAGAGGGAACTCTGGGGTGGTGGAGGGTATGAGTACTCAAACTGCAGCTGCCTTAGAAGCACCTGAAGGGCTCACTAAGTTCCAGATTCTGGGTCCCACTCTGAGTTTCAGAAGGTCTGGGGCAGAGCCTGAGAATATGCATTTCTCCCAAGTTCCCTGGTAATGCTGGTCCTTGGACCATACTTTGAGAAGAGTGACACGGAGGATGGGATGGAGAAGAATGGGTAGCCAGCTTGCCAAGCAGTTCAGGTGAGAGGGGATGGTGGCAGAGCAGGGGAGGTGCTCACGTTTTAAATCTGGGTGCTGCTAACTCTTCAGTGGCTTAGTAGTAAATTTTCAGGCTTGGTAATAAACCAATGTGGGAAAGAGGGGCTGTTTCTGGGGAGAAATCAGCCAGGTGGTCAGGATAATCCCCACCTTCGATCTGAGAGGACCAGATCCACACCACACTCAGTAATTATTTTCAGAAAGCACAAGAGTCAAGGTGTCTAGAGTTGCCATTTAATGCCCAATTATCACAACAGGAGGTTTACATGGTGCTCATCAAGGCAAGACCCAGTGCAAAACAGCCCAGAGATAAAAGACCTGTATAGGGTCCCAGCACAGGGACCAGGTTCCCTTGGGCCTAATCACCCTTGAGACACATGTGCCGTATACAAGGCTTCTTCCCTCACCCAGGAACCAGCAGGCTGGCTGGGCTTCTGGTCACCCAGGGTCCTCGTGGGAGAACAGCATCCCGGGATGAGGTGGGGACCCTGGGACACAATGATGAGAACCAGACAGCTGCTTGCAAACAACCCCAAAAAGGTTTTCACTTCAAATGCACTAAAGCCACACGGCAGTCGGATGTGGGAACACCCCAATGCTTTTACTAAGAACCAAACACAGGGAAGAACGGAGGTTGAGAACACTTGGGGAGGGAAAGTCAAGTCAAAACCATCCCAGAACCAGCTTTCTGATTTTCACAATCCCCCTCTTCCTCCCACAGCGACACTGGTCCAACCACAGCATTGCTGTGGAGAAGGGACACCACCATGCTGGTCTAGAGAACACTTTTAATGGAAAGGGAAATTGGAGCGTGTCCCTGGTTTGAGGAAATCTCTCTGAATCTCCAACTCTATGCTCCCTGGAGCCCCTGAGCCTCTGGCGGCCCCGGGGACACAGGTGACTTGGGGGTCAGAGAGCAAAGTGGCTTTTCTTCAACCCCTAGTTCTAAAGTTTACATGGCCCCTAAAGGAAATACTATCCAAAATGCATTCTTACAGCACTTGATGGAACTCTGAGAGGTTTCAAGTGTGTCACTGGCAAGGAAGAGGCGTGAGCTTGTCACTCCCCACAGTCTGCAGCTTGGCCTGGGCGGTCCAGTCCCGGGGCCGGGCAGGGTGTGGAGGGGATAGCCCAGGACAGAGGCAGCTGCTCAGGGCACAGGCCACGGGCCCAAGGGGCAGCCCCTCTGTCCAGCACTATGGCTGGGCATTTGGGGAATGAGCTTGCATTCTGGCCAGACTTTACTATTAAACCCTTTCCCAGTGGGTCCTGCAGGCCTCTTCTCCCTTTTCTCTGATTTAATTCTAGGAGAAAACTCTAGACAGAGCCAAAGGCATGGAAGTCAAACATCGGTCTTCAGAGATGGGACATGGGTAAATGGCAGCCCCCCAGACCTCAGAACAGCAAGGCCATCTCGGCCAGACCCCCATGCCCCTGTGCCCCCATGCACATTCCACGCATCACTCCCGTCCCCTGCCCAAGGGCCAAGGTCATCCCTTGACTCTGGATGTGGTGGGCTTCCAAAGAGATTTCTGATGAGACTCCTGAGTGTCTCTGGGGAGGGGAGGCCAAAGCATTTCCATAAAGCAGACAAAATTAGCCCTGTTTCCAGGGCTGGGCAACTGTGACCTGTCGACGATTCCTGTGAGGGCATAGTTCGGGGCCAAGGGAAGTTGCGAAAATGACAAGGTATGACTGTCCCCGTGTGGGAATTAGCCCACATCAGACCCCACCCTCTAAAGAAGTCCACCTCCCAAACTTCAGATGCCAGCTTCTGGTCAGCAAACGAACAATCCCATGAGGCCAACTACATATTTAAAACCAACTTAATGCTACAAACTTAAAAAAAAAAAAAAGTGCTGCCCAGCTGAGCCCCTGAGGAAACCTAGCTCCCTGAGGGTGGGTGGCAGGCCTCTTAGACCACCATCCCGGGTGGCCTCTCTCCAAAGGGCACAGCCTTGGTTCAGCCCAGGGCAGCCCTGCCCCAAGTTGGGTGGGGAGGAGAGCTGGTCCCCTCCCCTACACCCACACCCAAATGGGCCTCAGAGACACTGTGGGATGGACAAGCCTCTGGGTGGGACGTGGCGGGGCGGGGGCGGAGAGCAAGAGACCTCAGGACCCTGAGACAGGTAACATAAGCCAGTCTCTCCATTAGCTGCCAAGGTCTGATCTGCAGTGAAGACTCCTCCTGTCATCCCTGTGGCATTCCCTTGACAAAAGGAGCCAAAATGCCACCAAGTCCTGGTCACCTCCGTCCTGGGGGGACGAGAGGAAGGTCTGTGTGACAGTGGGTGTGGAGAGAGGAGATCCTCAAAAGAACGACTCCTTGAATAAACAAAAAAATCCTTCTAGGGAGGGGAGGATAGTACCAGCAGCTACCAGAGGGGGTGCTTTCTGGCAGTTTCTTGTTCTAATCCCATCTTTCTCTATGGGGGACTGCCGCTCCCTCCTTCACTGTAAGACACCCCTTGTCCCAAGCAAGAGGCAAAAATGGAGGAAAAGTGCCCTAGGCAGCCACTCTAGCTGCTTCCACGCTCCTGTCTGTGCCTCCCCGGGGGCTCTTCAGTGCTGACTCCCTGGAGGGTCACTATTTATGCTCTAAGGGGAAGGAGAGGTAGGGAATTCCATAGGAGCCGCCCCTGGGATGGCTCCTGGCAGCCATCTCTGGGACAGAGGAGACCAGGAGTCCGAGGCTGGCGCCTCAGCTGGAGACCAGGGGCAGGAGAAGCCAAAGGGCCTGCGGCCACCACCTACTGGCATTATGAGGCCTAAGTGCAAGTAGCCTTCTAGCAGACTGGACGGCTCCCCAGCGACCCAGCCCACTGCTGCGGGGAAATCCGGGAGGCGGCCTGAGGCCCTGGAAGGGCCCCAGCCGGCCCTTGGACAGTAGACCGCACTGGGCCTGTCTGAGAAGTCTTACTAGAAACTAGAACAATCTCCCTGCTAAAAACTCAGGGAAGACAAACAAACAAAACTCAACCTGAAATAAATACAAAGGCATTAAGTGCTTCTTGATAAATTCAGGGTCCTAATTCTATCCCTAGTCCCAAAGCCAAAGGCAGGGGCAGGGCCCTTCCCTGGACTTGGCTGCCTCACCTGTGGCCCTTCACGTCAGAGGTCAGAGGTCAGAAGCTGGATGGGCCTTCCCAGGCCCAGCTTCCATCAGGAAAGAGAGGACCCAACCCCTGATACACTCCTCCCCTAGATCCTCTACATGCCTGCACCCCAAGACAGCTTTGGCTGGCTGGGGCGCAAGACAGAGAAGAGGCTCCCATACCCTGAGGGCAACACCTTGTGTCCCACGTCCCTGTGCGGGCAGAGGGCCTGTCCGTCTATGAGGAGGTAGACAGGGCGGGCTGCTGACAGCAGGCAGGGCCACTCAATTAATCAGCAGGTCCCCGAGGTCATAGGAGTCGAAGAGGTCACTGATGCCCTCACCCCCGTCCAGGCCCCACAGGTAGTCGTCCTGGTCCAAGGGCGGGGAGAAGCTGATCAGGGGAGAGCTGCATGGCAGGGTTGGGGACAGGAACTGGTCCTCAGTCTGCTGCAGAAGTGGGTGTGGCAGCTCCAGCATGCTGTCGGTGGCCTCCAGGGGGACAAGCGGTGGTGGCAGTGGTGGCGGTGGGGCTGGCGGCTGCAGAACCTGCTGGGGAGTCAGCGCTGGCGCTGGAGACAAGCAGACAGAGGTCATACCTGGACCTGGATCACAAGAACAGTCCTCCTGTTCTCTGGACGACTGTGCATCCTCTTCTCTCCTGCCACACACCCAGTGACACGGGACACCCTCCCTCTCTGGGCACAGCTCTAGCCACTGCCCTCATTCTCCCACACTCTCTCTCCAACGTTTTTTTTTTTTTAATTTTTTATTTATTTATGATAGTCACAGAGAGAGAGAGAGAGAGAGAGAGAGGCAGAGACATAGGCAAAGGGAGAAGCAGGCTCCATGCACTGGGAGCCCGACGTGGGATTTGATCCCGGGTCTCCAGGATCACACCCTGGGCCAAAGGCAGGCGCCAAACCGCTGCGCCACCCAGGGATCCCTCTCTAACTCTTGAAGGAGGTGGGATCTCTTGCTCCCCAAATCCTACCCCTTGGGGCGTCTGGAAGTTGGAAGAGCCTGTGACTCTTGATCTCAGGGTTGTGAGTTTGAGCTCCCCGCCGGATGTGGAGATTACTTAAAAGTAAAAATCTTTAAATAAAACAAAAAAATCCTACCCACTTGCACCATCAAGGCTCTGGATGCTGAAAGCACAGTCTCTGTTTCCTGCATCACCAAATTTCTTTCTCTTCCAGATCATTCCCCTCATCATACAGACACATTCTAAGGTCTCCTAAAAAGCATCCTCCCCGACCTCATGACTCTTTCCAATTCCCACCCAGTTGACTGCTCCTTTTTGTAGCAAAATTTCTCAAGAATTGCCTGTACTTACCCTCCACTTCCTCCCATCATGATTCATTCTTCAACCCCTCCAACCTGAGGTCTGTCCCCACCATGCCACTCAACCAGTGACCTCCTATCACTAGACCTAATAGTCAGTTCTCGGCCTCATCTTACTTGACCATCCAGCATAATCTGGTGAAGTTATTCACACCCTTCTGGAAACACCTTCTTTACTTGGCTCTAGTACACTAGATTCTCCTGGCTTTCTTTTCTTTTTTCTTTTTTTTTTTTTTTTTTCTGGTTTTCTTTTTAAACCTCCTTGGCGGGCAGCACGGATGGCTCAGCGGTTTAGCACCACCTTCAGCCCAGGGCGTGATCCTGGGGGCCCGGGATCGAGTCCCACGTCAGGCTCCCTGCATGGAGCCTGCTTCTCCCTCTGCCTGTGTCTCCACCCCCCACCCCCGCCGTATCTCTCATGAATAAATAAATAAAATCCTTTTTTTTATTTATTCATGAGAGATAGAGAGAGAGGCAGAGACACAGGCAGAGGGAGAAGCAGGCTCCACGCAGGGGGCCCGACACGGGACTCGATCCCGGGTCTCCAGGATCACGCCCTGGGCCAAAGGCAGACGCTCAACTGCTGAGCCACCCAGGGATCCCTAAAATCTTTTAAAAAAATAATAAACTTCCTTGGCTGCTTCTCCTCTGTCTCCTTTGCTGAATCCTCTTCCTCTTCCTCACTTCTAAGCCCTCAGGCCTCAGGGCTCAATCCTCCGACTCCTCTCTCTGGCTGCACATCTTCCCAGGTGACCACAGTCACCCCTTAGCCTTAAATCCCTCTCTAGATCTACCACTTCCAGAGGACCCCTGGAGCTCTGGGCTCCTCTACGACCTCTGCCTAGGTGTCTCAGCTAACCCCAGAACTTAGCATGTCAAAACCAAACTCCTCAAAACCAAACTCCCCTCAATTAAGGGACCACTACCCACTCAGCTGCCTAAGCCAAAAAGCCCAAGAATCACACATAATCCTGCCATTTCCACAGCATCCTGCCCAGCAGTGAGATGGGTCACTGCCACAACCGAATGAATTCTGCAAGCTGCCCGTTTCTCTCCAGTTCTACCACTGTGACGCTTGTCTAGCCCATTGTCTCCCACCAGAGTGCTGCTGGGGCCTCTTTACCGGTCACCTTGCCTCGACTCTGCTCTAGCTTAAAAATGGCTGGGAAGAAAATCCAGGTTCCACCGGGGATGAGAAGGCTCTGCATGATCCGGTGCCTGCCTGACTTCCTGCTCCCTCTGTCCTGCCTCCCTCTGCTCACACTCAGCCTCTCCAGCGACACTGGCTTGGCTGTTTGGAGCACACCAAGTGCATTTCTCCTTAGAGGTCACAGGGTGACTTGCTACACAGGAACGAGGAATAGGCACCGGGACCCCCGTCCCCCATATATCCTGATGCCCAGAATCTCACCATTGGAGTCATGCCTTAAGCCCCAACCAACCATTCCTTGGAAAATACAGCTGTGCTGGTGTGTCCGCCTGCTTGATCAGCCCCTCACTCACCTGAGTGTGTCTGTGGGCAAGTGACCTAATGTGGACGAGCCTCTGCTTCCTCACCTCTAAAATGGGGGTGATCCTACCCACCTCACAGGGTTGCTGAGAGGATTCAGTGAAAAGTGCTGCCCTTGTCAGTGAGAAGAGCTCCAGTTTACCAAGGGCTTACCATGGCCAGCTCTGTGCTCAAGGAGAGGCGTGTTTCACCTCCTCGGACACTCAAGTGGCCCCACAGGAGGCGATATTGTGACCCCTATTTACAGATGAGGAAATAGAGGCTCAAAGGAGCCAAGTAAATATATTTGAGTGAAAAAAAATGCAATGTTTCTTTAGCATGTTGCTGAGACCTGCAGGGGTTCTAGAAGGCCTGGCTTGGGAGGAGGGGACGGACCCAGCTGGGACCCCAGCCCCACCCCTCACCAGCCTCAGTGTTCTCTGAGGAGAAATGAGGCTCCACCTCCCCAACATGCTGAACAGCAGGGAGATAAGGCGCGTGGAAGCTTCTGCTGTGGGCCTGGCCGGACCTTGCTCTCTGGCGCTGTTCATCACACCCACAAAGGCGGTGCTCTTCATCCTGTCTAGGCCTGCACCACACTCTGATGGCTCAGACTCACTTTGGTATCTCCAAACCACACAGAGCAGGCGGCTGGTTCACAGAAGCTTTTTAAAAAATCACATTCATGGGACACCTGGGTGGCTCAGCAGTTGAGCGTCTGCCTTCGGCTCAGGGCGTGATCCTGGAGTCCTGGGATCAAATCCCACATTGGGCTCCTTGCATGGAGCCTGCTTCTCCCTCTGCCTGTGTCTCTGCCTCTCTCTGTGTGTCTCTCATGGATAAATAAGTAAAATCTTAAAAAAAAAAAAAAAGGTGGGGGGCAGCCCCAGTGGCGGGGCTTCAAAACCTTTAAGAAAGGTTTTAAAATTTTAAAACCTTAAAAAAAAAAAAGGAGAGAGAGAGACCACATGACAAGGGTGGAGAGGGCACCCATGGCACGAGCCCTGGCATAGAGCTGGCTTCTGGGCCCCCACCAAGTGCTCTGTCAGCCTCTACTTCTTCTGGGAGAACAGCTGTTCTGTAAAACCCAGGTTAAAACCTCACCCTTGCTTATGCTGGAGGGTCCCCACCTCTGCCCCAGGTCTCCAAGGACATCTGACATGAACGTGGTTCTAACCTGAAGAGCTGTGCTCATGTTGACAGCAGAGTGAGAAAGCAGAGCAGAGGAGGAGGGAACACGGGGTGGGGCACAGGTCTGGAGTGGGAGATAGGCCCTGGGAGGTGCCCGGAAGGGCAGATGGCTGGTGCAGGGACAAGCCTGGGTCCCCTGTCCAGACCAGGACACAGGAGAGGTCACCAGAGAAGAACTGGGGGGAGGGGAGCGTCTGGGTTCTTGTCCAAGCTTTGCCACCAACTTACTGTGTGACCTTAGGGAAGTCGCTTGCCCTCTCTGAATCTCAGCTTATTCATGTGTAAAACGAAGGACTAGGGGATCCCTGGGTGGCGGAGCGGTTTGGCGCCTGCCTTTGGCCCAGGCGCGATCCTGGAGACCCGGGATCGAATCCCACATCAGGCTGCCGGTGCATGGAGCCTGCTTCTCCCTCTGCCTGTGTCTCTGCGCCTCTCTCTCTCTCTCTCTCTCTCTCTCTCTCTCTCTGACTATCATAAATAAAACAAAACAAACAAACAAAAAAACAAAAAACAAAAAACGAAGGGCTGGGTTGGCTCAGGGCTCAGCAAACTTCTGTAAAGGGCCAGATGGTATTTTAGGATTGGCAGGATATTTACAGTCCCTGTCACTTTCTTCCCATCCCCTAACTCTTTAAAAACATGAAAACCGGGATCCCTGGGTGGCCCAGCGGTTTAGCACCACCTTCAGCCCAGGGTGTGATCCTGGAGACCCAGGATCGAGTCCCACGTCAGGCTCCCTGCATGGAGCCTGCTTCTCCCTCTGCCTGTGTCTCTGCCTCTCTCTCTCTCTCTCTGTCTCTCATGAATAAATAAATAAAATCTTTAAATAAATAAATAAAAACATGAAAACCTTTCATAGCGCATGGGCCCCTTAAAAACAGGCCAGCTCTCGCCTGCAGGCAGCAGTTCGTGGACCCTTTGACTTAAAGAAATGGAATCCAGCCTGTGTTCTGGAGACGCCCCACCAAGCCTCTTCCATCAGACCTGCTTGAGCTCCGTTTTGTTTAAACACCAGGGTTCTACTGAAAGGGATTCTGCTGCTAAAAAAACAGAAATTTGGGATCCCTGCGTGGCTCAGCAGTTTAGCACCTGCCTTCGGCCTAGGGCGTGATCCTGGAGACTCGGGATCGAGTCCTGCATCGGGCTCCCTGCATGGAGCCTGCTTCTCCCTCTGCCTGTGTCTCTCATGAATAAATAAATAAAATCTTAAAAAACAAAAACAAAACAAAAAAAAAAACAACAGAAAGTTGAACAACAACCTCCATGGCCTCAAAGTTGCTGTCAGTCTGACGTGATGCGTGATGCCAGTAAAGGGCAAAAACCATCCTGGGGGGTGGGGAGGGGGCTTCCCAGGCTCCCGTTTCCATTCCTTCCAGACTCCTCCCCCGGACCTCTCCTTGCCTATCTGCCCCCTGGTGACTGCCGCACACTTCCAGCCACCCAGCCACATAAAGCCAGCTTTAGCTGTATGGCCCGCCTCCCAGACAGGGGCAGCTCAGCAGCCCCTTCCTTGATTTATTCCAAGCTCACGGAGAGAGGACTCGGCTAGGAGTGTGGAGACCAAGGGTCAAGACACAGTTCTGCTCTCTCCTAACTAGGAGACCTTGGGCAAGTCGCATCATCTCTCTGCCTCAGTTTATTTACCTCTAACCTGGGAACAGTTATGCCTACCTCAAGAATTGCTACGAAGAATAATGTGACAGTAGCTGGACCTTGTATGTAGTTGTGGTTTAAACAATCTTAGTTACAGAGAAAAATAATAAAATAAAGATAAAATTAATTAATTAAAAAAAATCTTAGTTGAACTTTCCTTCCAAAATCTGTAGTCATTGAGCACCTGGGTGGCTCAGTGGTTGAGCATCTACCTTTGGGTTGGTTGGTGATTCCAGGGGCCTGGGATTCAGTCTCGCATCTGGCTCCCCACCAAGAGCCTGCTTCTCTCTCTGCCTGTGTCTCTGTCTCTCTCTCTGTGTATCTTATGAATAAATAAAAATAAAATCTTTAGGGATGCCTGGGTGGCTCAATGGTTGAGCATCTGGCTTTGGTTCAAGGTGTGATCCCGGAGTCCCAGGATCAAGTCCCACATCGGGCCCCCTGCATGGAGACTGCTTCTCCTTCTGCCTGTGTCTCTGCCTCTCTCTGTGTGTCTCTCATGAATAAATAAATAAAATTTAAAAAAAAAAAAAGGAAAAAAGAAGTGTGGTTCTAGCAGTTGTGGCTGATTTACATTGATAAGAATAGCTAGCAGTTACTGCCAGGCACTGTTCCAAGTGCTTTACCTATATTCATTCATTCAATTCTCACATCCTAGGAAGTAGATACTTGTAGTTACGACGCCCAACTTACAGATGAGGTTAAGGCAAAGCGGGGTTAGGTGATGTGTCCAAGGTCACATAGCTGGTAACTGGAAGTGCTGGGATTCAAACCCAGGACCCCTCTGCCCAGAGCACCATAAAGTGTAAATTGCAAGCTGGCCCTTCGCTGCCCAACAAATGTTGCCACGTAAGAGGAAACTCTAAGGCTGGTTGCCCTCCCCACCTCCTGTCCCTCTGGACAGAGGGTCCTACCTGAAGATGCCACGGGGTCTGTCATCCCAGGGTCAGTGCTACTGCTGGGCTGGGTGGAGTCAGGGCTGGGGCCAAGGGTGGAGGCTGGGGGGAGGTGCTCCTTGGCAGGACTGTCCGGGTCCTGCACCTCCTCTGGGCACAGGTAGACTTCGATGGGCCCCTGGGTGCTCTTCAGATAGATCTGCAGGTTCTCCTAGAGGCAGAAGAGAATCCAGGTCACGGCTCTGGGCAGCAGGGCACTGACTCACGGATTGGGGTATACGGATGGACATCCATAGACACTTATCCATGTGAGCAAGCTCAACTCCTGAGCTGGGCCCTGCTGCCTGCCCCATCTGACCTGTGGCGGGCATCTGCTCCTTCTGCCTGTCTGGTCCCCAAGCTCCCTTCTTTGAGGGAGAATATCTTGATTTTCCTTTGGGAAACCACTCCACTCCTATTCTCAAGTCACGTAGTTGAGAGCAGGGGGGATAACACCTTTCCCAACCGCACCAGGTGAGCTTGGGGTGCAGGCTGGGAAAATCACAGTGATGGTGACTTGTTCAGGGAAACACATGACTCAGCTCAGTCCACAAGCGTCAGACCCAGGACTCGTGCCAGACTTGGAAATGGAAACCGCCTTCCCAACTGGCCCCCCGCCTCCAGCTGGTCTCACACGAAAGCTACCTTTGCCACCGGAAGAGGGGAGCCTGCCTGGGAATGGATGCAGCACAAAGAATGGCAGAGGAAGACAGAAGGCATGGGGTGAACCAAAAGTCCGTTTGAGCTCTAGTTTGAGTTTGAACTCTACACCTCCAGTTTGAGCTCTACATCTAGCCCTGCCTGCAATTTCCAAATCTCCCCTCTGGATCTGTCACCCCCCCCCCACTTAAGCCATTTGGACTGGGCTTTGAAACCAAGAGTCCTGATATTTGGCTTTCCCCCCTCCTGCTTCTTCCCTCCCATGATCAACTACACACGTGCCATTCTAATACGCATGTCTCCCCCTGTTTCCCCTAACAAAAATCCTGTTCATTCTTTAGGACTCAATACATGTAACCATCTATGGGCTCTTCCTCCAGCTGTCCTTTCTCTGGGCCCTCACAGCACCTTTAAGTCTATAAATGGCAGCATGACTGCTTGCTTGGGTCTTTTTCCCACGAGGTCCTGAGCTCCTTCACGGCAAGGGTGGGGTCTCATTTATTTTAATGTCCTTCCATTAATCGAATTATTTCTTGAGCACGGATTATGTGTCCAGCTCTGGGCTGGGAGTGCCACCGGAAATGCAACATGCTTTTGTAGAGCTTACACTCTAATAGGTAAACTACAACGTAATCACATAATCACCAGTATATCCCAGAAACGGAGGTTAAGTGCCATAGAAAAGCCCAGGTAGTTATGAAATCTGGGGGGTAATCGGGGAAGGCTTCCTTGAGGAAGTGATTTTGAATTGAGACCTGTAGGATGAACAGCAGTAAAGCCGGCAGAAAAAGGGAAGAACACTTCAGTGGGAGAGAGGGTAGCAGAAGGTCTTATACTGGAGATGAGCTTAATGTGGTGGGGACACTGCAGAAAAGTCAGTGTGGCTGAAGCAAAGCACAATGAGAGAAGAGGCGGGTGAGGTCAGAGCACAGAGGGCCTCATAAGGGAGTATTAAGAATTGTGGTCTTGGGATGCCTGGGTGGCTCAGTGGTTGAGCATCTGCCTTTGGCTCAGGTCCTGATCCCAGGATTGGGGATCGAGTCTCACATTGGGCTCCCTGCATGGAGCCTGCTTCTCCCTCTGCCTATGTCTCTGCTTCTCTCTGTGTGTCTCTCATCAATAAATAAAATCTTAAAAAAAAAAAAAAGAATTGTGGTCTTTAACCTAGGCATGGTTAGTAGGATTACAGTGAGCACAAATACCACGGTGTGGGATTCAGGACAGCAGGGGCTGGTGGGATGCAGAAAGATGCCAGGACCAGAGACTTTCTTGGGCCAGTATCTGACGTCTCTTGTCCTTTCCAGCTTCCACTGTCTCTGCCCTAGATCAGAGACCACCAATCCTGCTCTGGGCACCAGAATGGATCTGGGAAGCGTGAGGCCAGGCAGTGCCAGGGACAGAGCCTACAGAGCAGCCTGGGACCCTCCTAACCCTGCTCTCCACCAAATGCTCCCCCCCACTCACCTCGTTCCTGTCAGGCACTTCCAGTCTTGTCTGTGGAGGGGCCTTGACAGCAATCACCGTCTGTTCCTTAAAGTTGCCAACGGCACGGATGTCCTGGTAAGTCACATAGGCCAGTGTAGAGGCAGGAGAGTCAAGAGAAGCAACTGGTGAAAATTCAAACCCCAGGGGCACCTGGGTGGCTCAGTGGGTCCAGTGTCTGCCTTCGACTCAGGCTGTAGTCCTGGGGTCCTGGGGAGCCTGCTTCTCCCTCTCCCCTGTCCTGCTCATGCTCCCTCTCTCTTTCAAATAAATAAAATCTTAAAAAGAAAAAAATGCTCCAATAACAACAATTTCACGTGGATCAAGCAAATAGGGAGGATTTGTAAACATTAAGAACTGTCTATGGGGGACACTTGGGTGGCTCAGTGGTTGGGTGGCTGCCTTCGGCTCAGGTCGTGATCCTGGGATCCAGGATCCAGTCTCACATTGGGCTCCTGTGGGGAGCCTCTTCTGTCTCTGCCTCTCTCTCTGTGTCTCTCATGAATCAATCAATCAATCAATAAAACTGTCTATAGTGGGGGCACCTGGGTGGCTCAGTCGGTGAAGCATCTGCCTTCAGCTCAGTTTGTGATCTCAGGGTCCTGGGATTGAGTCCCTACATCAGGCTCCCTGCTCAGCAGGGTGCATGCTTCTCCCTCTGCCTCTGTTGCTCCCTTTTGCTTATGATTTCTCACTCTCTCTGTCAAGTGAATGAATAAAATATTTAAAAACAAACTGTCTATGGTGATAATCCTAAGTGGAAGAAAGCAGGATATAAAATGTTGTGTATAGCAGGCCCATGCTATGTTTAATCACCTGTACCCTGTGTATAGTATAGGTAAGTGACAATGGCTGTGTTAGGTGGCAACGGTTTCTCTCTTTCCTCCATTTTTCAGATGTAAAGAAATGGACTTACTTTTGTGATGAGAGTAACTCTGATAGACTTGTGAGAAAAAGCCAAGGAGGAAGGAAGACACAGACCTGCCAGACCCGGAGGGCGAGTTAGCCTGTGCAGGGAGGTACCACACGAACTCAGGATAGATCTGAGCATGCAACAGGGCCCTGCTCCCTGACCCCCCACCACCCCACCACCAGACAGGATATCTCTTGTTGGCCTTGTCCTCGGTCAAGTGCTTGAAGTTCAGGGAGCAGCTCTGGATGAGCTGGTCCAAGGCCTGCTCCATGCTCATCAGCTCCTTCAGCTCTTGCCCCAGCTGCTGCTGCTTCCCAGGCTGGGTGGGGTCTTCGAACATTCCCCTGCCTCTGGGAACAGAGCAGTCCCCAGTTCAGTCTCAGTCCACATCCGGGGGCACCCACCCCAGGGCTGCAGGGCAGACCTGCACAGATGGTGAGGAACCCCAGAATGAGGCCATTCGCATGGTCTACACAGTGCCCCCTGGGTTGTGCCAATCAGTGGCCCTGCCTTGCTTCCAGGGAGCTGCTAGGAATTGGAACTTGAAGTTCAGGGGTTGGGCTAGGGAAAAGAAACGAGTCAAGCCTGATCCCTCAAAAAAAAAAAAAAAGCCTGATCCCTCTTTTGAGGGGCTCCCAACACTGTCCACCCTATGCCCAGCCTCCCCCAAATGCCTTGTCTGGATTCTCTTAGGGTCATGCCAGGGGCTACAGGTCTGCTCTGGTCTTTGTAGGAGGAAAGGAGCCCGGAGGACTCATATCTCAGAGCTGGAAGGAGCGTGGGTATAGCCCAGCTCCCAGGAGACTTTCCTAAGCTAGAAGACAGGAATCTTGAGATTCCTAACTCAAGAGGATCTGGGTCCTCTTAGGCCTTTACATGTCCTAGAGATGCCTCTTAAATACACTGGCTCTGCTCCCAGCATGCAAGCCTATCAGATATTGCTCTCAGCTCCAGCCCTGACACACACCCATTGGATATCATCCCCCCCCAACTTTCACCCATGACGTGTGCACCCACTGGTGCCATTGGCCCCAGCCCAGGCACTCACACCCACTGGATGTTGTTCTTGGCCTTCTTACGGATGAGCTGGATACCCTCCAGCACATTGGTGATGTCGTAGATGCGCCGCTTCTGCACGTCCAGCACCTCGGCCGCCCAGTTCAGGTCCAGGACCCCATCCTTGGATTCACTCAGGAGGTAAATGAACTTCTTCGTGAGCAGCCCCAGTGACGTGTCATACCGAGTCTTCTCTCCAGGGGACTTGGGGGCTGAGGAGGAAAGGGCCCCAGTTACTACTCAGGGAGAGCCAGCCTGGGGTCCTCTGAGCTGGACCCATTAAGGACCACCCTTCACAAGAACACAGGAGCGACCACTTTCCAGTTTACAGAGCACTGTGAGGCAGGAGGTCATTCGCCACCACTGTCCAGGCAGGGAGCCTGATACCTAAAGAGGGAGCGACTTGTTTAAGGCCTCACAGGTAGGGGCAGGGGCAGGATGGAAACCAAGCGTCCTAACTGCTGGTTCAGAGCATCTTTCCACCATAGCTCAGGGCAGCCATAGCAACACCACCACAACCACCACCAAATACTGTGTCTAGGTCACTGTTCCAAGCACTTTCCATAGACAACAAATTTAATCTTACAACACCCTATAAGTCTGCTGTACAGCCATCCCCATTTTATGGATGAGAAGACCAAGGAACAGACAGGGAAAGCAACTCGCTCGGCTCACTCAGCTAGAAAGTGACAAAGCTGGGATTTAAATCCAGGGTCTCCAGAGTCTTTCTTCTTAACCCCTCTCCTGCCAGCCATGTCAGGAATCTAGAATTAGGTAGATGGAGGAACAGGATGATGCGCCAGGACTCGAGAGCATTTTTAGACTTGCTTTTTCTTTCCGCCTGTAGCCTAATAATGATTATCTGAAAGGAATCAGTCCTCTACTATCAAATAGGGAGGTTCATGAAAAAAGATCCTTTCTTAATGAGGTTGATGTCACAAGACCACATCCCAGCTGCAGCATCTTAAACCGCAAGAGGACTTTGGCAATCAAGTGACTTGCAAATCATACAGAAGCTCGTGGCCAAAGGAGTTCTAGAAACTGAGTTTTGGAGAGCCTCAGATTCCTCCAGAAGGGGACTTTACGGTCCATCCCCATCCGGGTGGCAGGCATTTGGCACACAGGCTGTTTCTGTCAGGTTTCGCACCCTGGGCAGACACTACTAACGGATCAGCGTGCTTACTATCTCTCAATAAAATTCTCCAGGCAGCCTCCACCGATCAACAGACGGGAGGGCCAACTTTCTTCTATTCCTGATCTAGCTGTCCTTTGTTTTACAGACGAGACAGCCAAGGCTTGCAAGAGGAGTGTCCAGAGTCCTCATGCTTCCCACCTAAGGACATACCTTCTTCATGAGGCCTCTGACCCCCCACCCAAATTATTGTTCCCCTCTAAGTTTCTAAAACTCCGACCGGAAGCAGGGTATTGACTGAACATATCAGGAGGAAGCAGCAGAAATTCCCGGCGGCTTAGCTTTCAAAAGGCACCCACCCGGGCAGCCCCTGGATCTTCATCTCTGAGCCTCCTGAGTTAGAATAATCCAGGCTTCACTTCCCTTTGAATCACTCACTGAGCTCTCTGCCTGTGGGAGAAAGACCCTGGTTAGCCCTGCTCCTCTTTAAACTGGATTCTTTCTTTTTAATTTTTTTTAATTTTTTAATTTTTTTTAATGATTTTACTTATTTATTCATGAGAGACACAGAGAGAAAGAAAGGCAGAGACACAGGCAGAGGGAGAAGCAGGCTCCATGCAGGGAGCCTGATGTGGGACTCGATCCCAGGTCTCCAGGATCACACCCTGGGCTGAAGGCAGGCGTTAAACCGCTGAGCCACCCAGGGATCCCGATTCTCTCTTTTTTAAAGATTTTATTTATTTCTATGACAGAGCACAAGCAGGGGGAGTGGTAGCTTGAGGGAGAGAGAGAAGCAGACTCCCAGCTGAGCAGGGAGCCCGACATGGGACTCGATCCCAGGACCCTGGGATCATGACCTGAGCCGAAGGCAGATGCTCAACCGACTGAGCCACCCAGGCGCCCCTAGGTTCTCTCTTTTAGAAAAGGTCAGACTGAACAAAATATAAACTTAAAAAAAAAAAGAAAAGAAAAGCCCCCAAGTACAACACCAGCCATCATGTTCTGGTCACGAGAGTGGCATATGGCGTGGGAGAAGCAGTGCTGGCTTAGGTTGGAGTCCTGACCCCCACTCACCAGCAGTGTGCCCTTGGGCAAGTCACGCAAGCTGCCTCCTCAGTGAAAGGGGGATAGTGCGCCCTACAGGCAGGTCCCCTGAGAGAGCACAGAGGCATCTGCTTTGTAAACCGGGAAGTGTGCCACAAATAGGCTCCTGATGATGTGGGTGGGGCTGCTGCTGCCCTCTGCCCCTGCCCGCCCAGCTTGCCCTCGGAACCCCCCACCCCCAACCCCACCCCATGAGCTGGGCTTACTTCTGGGGCTGGGAAGCCCCTCCACTCTAATGCACTTCCCCTTGGGAGTCCGGAATTCAGGGATGGCTGGCCTCCCGATGCCCTCCAGGTCCAGCTTCCTTTTGGCCTTGGAGACAGGAGAGAGAGAGGCAGAGTTTGAGAATCATTCCTCCTTCAGTCTCCCCCCCACCCAAGTCGGGGAAAAGAGGCCACCAGCAGCTGCTTTCTCTGCCTCAATTTACCCCCAGTCCTGGTGAAACCTCATTGCACTTGGTGAGGACCCAGCAGCGACTGGCCAAGTGAGCCTCCAGGGGAAAGGGAGTCCCATTTTCGGAGGAGCACACGACACTCTCATCCTGAGGCCCAGGTACTCGAAGGCTACGGAATCCAGTCTGGCCAAGACCTCAAGGTTCCTTAATTACAGGCCCCAGGGTCACTTCTACATCCGCCACCCCCCACCCCCAAGCCCAGAGGATGATGCAGGGAGGAAGGAGTGGGTAGGACTCAAACCACATCAGGCTGGGGAGAGCCTCCCACCCCAGCAAGTGCAAAAGCAGCTGGCCCGCCTGCCCTGGTGCCCATCACAGCCCCACAGCTGGCCCTTATCAGGGTGGGGCTGGGCATCCGCCCGGGCCCAGGGGACTTCCTGGCTCAGTGCCACACCCCAGGGAGGTGCCCACTTCGGGAAGCAGAGCAAACATTCCCCACCCCCATGTTTGGGCTCCTCCAGGGCCCCGGGGCCCCAGGGCCTCCTGAATAGACTCCATTTGCCATTCTTTCTTTGCCGAGAGGGGCAGACAATGAATCCTTCCCCTGCATCTCAAGGACAAACAGCTGAGGTCCCCCTGCTCCCCCTGCCTGTTCCCGCCAAGCTTGGGAAACACCTGCTGGGGAAATCAAACCACAGACCCATCTGCTCTTCTCCACCCCGCTGCCACCAGGCCCCAATTAGGCCCAGAAGCTGCACTGGCCCGGAAGGGGCCTCTCTCCTGCTAGGGCTGGGCAGGGGCAGGGCTAGGCTACTGGGGCACTGGGGCACAGGTCAGAGGCCTGGACCTGACTCTCCAGGCTCCTTCACAGGCTTGCTGTGTGCGTGGGACTCGGGGAAGCGCTCCACATCCAGGAGCCTCAGTTTCCTCCTCTGTAAAATGGAGCAGAGAACACCCACCTTGAGGGACCGTGGTGAGGAATCAAGGAGATAACTCCTGCAAAGTGCTCAGCCTGTGGCTCAGCACACAGTAGGTGTTCAGAACATGCAGAGTCCCTTCCCTGAAATCCAGGCTTGGTCTCTTCCTTGACACACCCTTCAGGGGCCACCAAGCCTATTTTCTTCCTCTCCCCTAATCACCCAGACACCTCTAAGTTGGTTGGGGCAGAGAGGCCTATTTTAACCTTTGACAGTGAGGTCATGCTCGGCAGGGCTGAGACTTCTAACTGCTGCTGAGCACAGCTGGGGTGACAGGTGTGGGAAGTGGTGACAGCTCTTCCGGCCATCAGCTCCCCTCCCCACTCCTGCCTCCTCCAGGAAGTCCTCCCGGACTGATTCCAGGTCTGACCCCAAAGCCACATACTAGGCTGTCTCAGCTCTATCCCACACCCATTCCCTGAGAATTTGCTGGAGTCTGAGCAAAGGCCTGGCTGTGCCCACCTGCTCCCATTACTTTATGCAGGCATACCAGTTCCCTCCATCTCACTGTCCCTCCCCTTGTCCTATACCTCTCCTTCTTTTGAGAAGCCTGGATATGATGCTCCTCTCTTCCATCCCTACCCAAACCTGGACATGATCCAAACACTTCCCTGCTCATTCCTCTTGAAGTCTCTCTGGAATATTCTTTTTTTTTTTTAAGATTTATTTATTTATTTATGAGAGAGAGAGAGAGAGAGAGAAGCAGAGACACAGGAGGAGGGAGAAGCAGGCTCCATGCCGGGAGCCCGACGTGGGACTCGATCCCGGACTCCAGGACCGCGCCCTGGGCCAAAGGCAGGCGCCAAACCGCTGAGCCACCCAGGGATCCCCTGGAATATTCTTTTCTTAACCTCTCAGCTGCTGAATCCCAGATTCTAGGGAATGTGACCTATCTTGTCTCTAGAGAAAGGCCTAGTCATTCGTTGAGACCTTCCACATGCCCCGGGCTGAGCCCCAACATTCAGCGCCTCACAGAGTCTCCCCAGCACTACCAACCCCCATTTAACAGCTGAAGTAACCGGGACTTGGCAAGCACCAAGGTCTTTATCAATCCTGGTCAAAGTTGTCCATCCCAGGACCGTGCACGCATCCCTCAAGAAGAATGCCAAGAGCAAGGAGAGGAAGGGAAGTCAAGCTGAGAAAACTGAGGCAGAGCCGGGACAGCCCAGAGTCACCCCAACCAGGTCCACCTCCCCCACACAACAGGAGCCAGGCCCTGCTGAGTTCACAGAACACAGGAGGAAGAACCTCACTACCTGAAGAGCGGGTACAAGATAGGAAGGACCTTGAACAGAATATCTGCATCGGGCCTATCACGTGCTCATCGGTCCTGCAACATCAGTATTGGCAATCATCTCTCCTTGCAGATGAGAAGTGGAGACTCAGAGAGGGTAAGACACATGCCCAAGGTCACACAGGCAAAGAGTAGAGCCAGAGTTTAAACCCAGGATTGTCTGGCCCCAAAACCACATACTAGGCCATCTCAGCTCTATCCCACGACCATTCCCCGAGAATTTTCTGGAGTTTGAGCAAAGACCTGGCTGTGCCCACCTTCCCCCATTACTTTATGCAGACATACCAGTTCCCTCCATCTCTCAGTCCCTTCCCTTATCCTATACCTCAAGCAGCAAAATGTCCCTCTTCCAAGGCCATTTCCCTGATACCTTAGGGCATAGCCCACAGATGGGCCTGGGCCTACAGAACAGAGGTGGCAAAGGACAAGCCCAGAAAGATGAGAGCCAAGGAGAGCCTGAGCAAAGGCCTGGGAGTCACATCCATGGGGGTTCCCACCTGGGCCTGCCTCCTTCTTAGCTGGGGGAGCTCAGCAAGTCAGTTGACCTCCGGAGCCCCACCTGTGAAGTGGGGATATCTGCTCCACCTCGTCCGGGATTCAGCGACAGTGCTGCAAAGCGCTTTGCTCACACAAGGAAGCTGCTATCACTAAAGCCCCAGGGGTACCAGCACAGGGGAAGTTCAGAGGTAAACTGAAAAAAAGAGAGATGTGCCAAGAGCCCAGGCCAGCCTGGCTCTAACCTGGACCCTCCTAGGAGGCAGCCCCTTTGGCTGTTTCTTAAAGGCCTGGTTAGGATTCGATCTCCCCCTGCCAACCCCAAGGAAGAAGAACAAAGCTCCTTCCTCCGGCAGCACCAGAAGCCAGAGGGTCAGAGACTACCAGACATAACCTCACCATGGGTGGCAAGGTGACGAAGGTGGGACTCGAAGGTGGGGAAGAGACTTGCCCAAGGTCACACAGGGCATAGAGCCAGGCTTCTCCCAAGCCCTGAGTCCTAATTTAGATGACGGGGGTAGGAGCAAGTGTTCCAGACCCCAGCTTTACCACTCCATAGCCTGCATTTCCACATCTGACCCACCCTGGATGGTTGTTCCTTAAAATGTTCCTTTGCTTTCATAGTTCTCAGGGGGACTTTGGAAAAGACAGACAAAAGGAAGGAGAACTGTGCAGAATCCTTTCACAGATCCCAGCAAAAATGAAACAGAATAACGTGATGTGCCTGGCAGGACTAGGGACCCCATAGAGGAGCATCCCAAGCCTTCCCTGGAGGGTGCCGGAAAGAGCCTCAGACAAGGAGTGAGGAGACCAGGGCCCAGGCCTTCATTCTGCCGTTGAACTTGGCTGCTATCTCTGAGGTCCCTTTAAACAGCAGCTCCCCAACAAATCCTGCTCACCCTGCACTTTGCAGCCTGGCCACAAAACAGTGGCCACACCCAGGGTTGGGTTTGGAGCTGTTCCAGGTCACACCCTGGTAAAATGAGTAAGCAGGGGGCCAGGCCTGCCCACAGGGCTGGGGGCCATGGGGCATCTGACAGGAGAGGGGGCTCTGGGCCTGGCAAGCCTCTAGGGTAGTCTGATGTAAGGAGACTCTCCCACTTCTTGGCTTGTGACTTGGACAAGTGACTTCACGTCTCTGCTCAGTTTCCTCATCTGTAAGATGCCTCATCCCAGGCATCTTGGCAGAGATAACGAATGCGAAGAGTGCCAAGCAGTGCCTGGCACACAAGAGGCGTTCGTTCAGTCAAAGAGAACCATTCTTGCTGTGATCACGGAGCCCCTCTGGGAGGGAGCTACAGACAGATGCACCCGGGCTCCTCTGGGAGGGAAGCAGTTCAAAACCACAGCTGTTACTGAAACGCAGCCACTGAAACCCCGCCTGGGCGCCTGAAAGCAGCTGGCCAGAGGAGACTGCACCCGCCACTGAGCCCCTTCCCCGGGGGCAAGCCAGCTCCTCGGTCAGGCAGTACTGGGAAAGTCACGGCTGCAGAGAAGAAACCGATGACCACCAGCCTTGGTCATATATCACCCTGTATGACCTTGGACAGATCACATCCTCACTCTGCGCCTCAGTTTCTCCCTGGAGCTACTCATGCCTCCTACTTCACAGGGTACAAAACTGGTTTAGGCTGTAAAATGCTGAACATAAGAGAGATAACCCATTGTCAGTTATCTTTGGCTGCTTGATCTACAAAATGGGAATAGCACCCCTGCCTCCTTCCCCCTGGTTGGAAATCATGAGCAGGAAGAGGTTCTGGAAAGTTTAGAGCCTTGAGCACCAGCAAAGCAAGATTCCAGTAGCAGGGAGCATGCATCCAGGGAAGACCGGGGGTCTGTGTCTGCTCAGTGACCCGGGTCGGAGCAGATGCCTCTACGGCAATGAGGGATGGTCTTATCTCTGCACCTGACTATTCACCGCTCACAACTAAGCAAACTGCAACAGCCCCACCTCTCCTCCCTGGAGCCTCTTTCCAAAACCCAGGACCTGGAGCTGGAAATGACCTGAGATGAGTTAGCCCAAGGACCCCATGTACACATGCATTTTGAAGAAAAGGAAATGTAAGTCCGGACTGGAGCCAAGACTTGTCCAAGAACACAGTAAATTAGTGGCAGTCAGGACCAGAAACCAGGCTCCCCACCCAGCACCCAGTTCCCCCAGGGCTTTTCCCACCCCACCCACCCCTTCCCTATGGTTGTTTCCATTCTCAAGGGCTCCAGGAATTCCACTCCCACAAAACACACCCTGTACCTAGTGCCACCACACTTTGGGCCCTCCCTGGCAATGCCCCCCCGGGGGGGGGGCTTGAGAAAGGAAATGTCCATCTGAATAGGCAACCCAGGGGCCTGCCCCCAACTTGCACCTGCTACTCGCTGTCTGGGAGGGCGGATAATTGGGAAAGAGTTGGCTGTGCTGGAAATCTGAAGTCTGTCCAAGCCGGACTGGACCTAAGAGACACTCCAACCCTGCCCCCGTTTTCAAGTCCCCCTAGGTCAAGCCCTATACCTGGACGGTAGCAGATGCCCACTACCGGCTTCTGGACCACACAATGAATGAAAGAATGAAGGAATGGTGGCAACGTCGCCTCCGTGGACCTCCCCAAGGTCACACGGTGCCCTGGGGGGTAGTGGGCTGGGTCTCCACCCTCCTCCATCCAGTGTTCACGCCACTCCACTGCGATGGATGAGGTTATTTCATCCAAGCCCGAAACGGAAAGGCTCTTCTACTCAGACGTGCAGGGCAGCGGGTCGCTCTGGAAGCTGCAAGCTCTCTTTTCCCTCCCGAACTCCACCTGGGTCCCAGGCGCTCCTCCCTCCTTCCCCGCACCCGCAACAGCACAGGGAGGAGCGGGGGGCGGCGGGGCGCAGGTCCCCAGCATTACCGGCAGCCGGCCAGCCGGCACGCAGCGCACCGCTTGGCCCTCGGGTCCGTGCGGGGTGGCGTCGAGGCAGGTGCCGGCCGCCGCAGGGGGAGGCACGGTCTGCGGGTACAGCGAGGTGCAGCAGGTGGCGGTGGCCGGGCAGAGCTGGGGGCTGCTGAGGCCCGGCGGCCACAGCTCGGTAGGGCTCATCGCGGGCAGTGCCTTGGAGGGCGGCCCGGCGGCTGCAGCCGGGGCCCGGGGCCCCCGCAGCATGGCGAGCGCCGCGCCCCCTCCCCACCCGGGCTGGCGCGCCGCGGGCACCTGCGGGCTCGGGACCCGCGGAGGCTCACACGGCCGGAGGCATGGCGCGGAGCCGGGGAAGCCGCCAATGGACGCCCGCGGGGCACGGCCGGACCCTCCCCTCCTGGCCGGCCGCCGAGCCCGGGGCGCTTGGAGATCCCCGCTTGGAGATCGCCCCGCGGCGGCGGCGGCGGCGGCGGCGGCGGCGGCGGCGGCGGCGGCACGGCCGGGGCTGGCCAGCCCCGAGGGAGGGCGGCGGCGACCCCGCACCGCCCCGCGCCCCGGGACGGCCTCGGCGCTTAGGGTCCGGCTGGCTCCCCGCAGGGGTCTCTGCGGTCGCCGGGCGCTCGGAGGAGAGGCGGTGCGCGCAGGCGGGGAAGGGGGGCCGATTGCACCGACTCCCTCCCGTCTGGCTCTCAAGCCTTTCTCTGCCTCCTTTTTTTTCTTCTTCTTCTTCTTCTTCTTCTTTTTTTTTTTAGCGCCAAACTGCGTGCCGCGAAATTCGGATCTCCCGCGGAAAACGCCGCGCTCTGATTGGCCGCCGCGACAGGCACAGGCTCCACCCCCCGGAAAGGACCCGTCCCCTCGGCTGCGATTGCAACACGAGCTGCGCTGCTTAAAGGGGCCGCCGCACCTGCTGGCGCCCGCGCGCCCCGGCCCTAGCAGCCCGCCCACCGGGCTGGGAGGCTGGTTTGCGTCCCTCGGTGCAGAAGCAACCGGAGCGGCGCGGGACCGGCTGAGGAATAGGCCCGTGTTGCCCCGGAGGTGGCGAATTTGCACACGGAGTCCTGTCCTGAGCCCAGACCTGAGCCCGGACATTACCCAGGTTCATTTGCATGGTTGCTTACTTAGCACATATGCCTTTTCTTTTTTTAAGATTTTATTATTTATTCATGAGAGACACACACACACAGAGGCAGACACACAGGCAGAGGGAGAAGCCGGCTCCATGCAGGGAGCCCGATGTGGGACTCGATCCCAGAACTCCAGGATCACGCCCTGGGCTGAAGGCGGCGCTCAACTGCTGAGTCACTCAGGCTGCCCCACGTATGCTTTTATATCCTTTTTTCTGCCCCGCTAAAAAGGAAAGCCAGGAGCTTGTTTTCTTTCTTGGCAGGGGGGCTATGGGTGGAGCCTAACTGTTTACACCTCTTCCTAGGAGGATACTAACGTCTGCTGAGTGCCTATGGTATGCCAAGCACCCTGCTAGGTCACTGCATGACTTGTTTTAGTTCCTTGACTCCTGGGAGGAGGCGTGATGGTGTTCCTGGTAAAGGTGGAGAGGCAGAAAAGCTAGGTAACTTGCCCAAGATCACACAGAGAGATTCACTGACTTGAGAACTGGCAGGGCAATCTGTACAGTCCAGCTTCTGAGCACTTGTTTGTTCAAAAAAAAAAAAAAAAAAAGGTTTCTCTCCTCCCCTCCCAGGCTGTGCCCTACCCCTTGCAGGCCTGGATGGGGGCTGGGGGTCCAGAGTGCAGAGCTCTGTCGTGTCCTCAGTGGCAGTCCCAGAGCACACACTCCGTCAATATTTGAACATCTCCATGTGTCTCCGAAACAATCCTTTTGTCACAAGAGCCTCCCTCTCTCTTCCTCATTCAAAACCCTCATTGCTGATCATCCATTTACATTCCCGGTTTCTCCAGTTGAGAGATGCAAAGGCTCCAAGAAGTGACCTTGGCTAGTGAGTGGTGGAGCATCCAGAAGCTCAATTTCCAGGTCCGCTGATTCCTGCCTAGTGCTGTGTGATTTCTATGCACCTCAGAGGCTGGCATTCGAAACCCTCCAGAGTCCATCCCCTGCTTAATACCTGGTCCTTGTCCTTGGGTCTCCAGGATAAGGTGGCACTAAGGCAAGGTGATCAAGAGCCCAGACTTACCAGCAGACAGAACTGGGTTCAAATCCAGACCCAGGGATCCCTGGGTGGCACAGTGGTTTGGCGCCTGCCTTTGGCCCAGGGAGCGATCCTGGAGACCCGGGATCGAGTCCCACGTCGGGCTCCCGGTGCATGGAGCCTGCTTCTCCCTCTGCCTGTCTCTCTCTCTCTCTCTCTCTCTCTCTCTCTCTCTCTCTCACTGTGTGCCTATCATAAATAAAAATTTAAAAAAATTATAAAAAAAAAAAAACAAATCCAGACCCAATCACTTTACCAACCGTGTGAACCCAGGCAAGTTTTATAAACTCTCTGAGCCTCACCTTTCTCATCCCTATTAACACCCACCTCATAGGATTGTGGGGAAATCTCATGAGATAATGTACAGCTGTCAGCACACAGCCTGGTTCCTAAAGAACCTCAAGAAGTAGCAGCTGTGGTTACTTTTCTGTCCTTATCTCCAGTACACAGACTCCTTCACCGCAGTCTACGTATTTCACTGTTTTTCAAGGCCCAGCTTGAACCTCACCTTCTCCAGGAAGCCTTCCCCGCCTGCCTCTCCTCTTCCAGTCAGAGTGCTTCTTGCCCTCTTTCCGCGCCTAGCATGTTCTGACTCAACAAACAAACGTCTGTGTAGTGACAATGAGGCTCCGATTCAAGTCCCACTCTCCAGTTCCTAGCTGAGCAACCCTGGGTAGGCTGTTGCTCCACCTCTCAACCATCAAGTAGAGACAAGGCTTCTACTCGGCCGATTTCACAGGACTTCGAGACACTATTGAGATGGTAGTGGTAATGACCCTCACAACACCCCTTCAGGACAGGCATTGTTATTATCCCCATTTTACAGATGAGGGATCCTGGAAGAAATTGTGGCCGAGCAGGTTTGGGGAAGGAGCAGAGCCCCAGGGCCAGGAAGGGAACTGGGGGTGGCAGGGTGCGGCTGAGACGAAAGAAGGGAGCCAGTGAGGGGGCCAAGAGCCAGCTCTCTGTGGTTGAGTTTCGGGCCGCCAGGGCTGGCTTTAGTTTCACTGCCTGGGAACCGACTAATTCCTGTGGCTCACATCTATAATCTGTCTCCTGGAACTGGAATCCCTGCCCCATCCATTCCCAGCTTGTGCTCTTGGTCAGGTCACAGACCTCTCTGAGCCTCAGTTTCCTCATCTTTGAAATGGGGATGGCAAAAGTGATCTTTTTGTTTACTGTGCAGATTCAGTAAGGTGTTGGCTATGAAGTCCTTAGAGGGGAGCGCAGGAGCCATTTAATATATTTGAGCTAAGATCTGTGTGAGATGGACCAGAAGAAGCCCCAGTGGAACCAAACCAAAATACTTGCAGTTTTCCATGCATGTGCTACATGCTCCCGTTTCCAGGCTTTGCTTCCATGGTTCAGCATCCACAAGGCCTCTCCTCCTCCCTTCCATCCCCACCCCGCCCCCACTTGCTCAAATCTGACCCACATTGGAAGCCCAACCCAGATGGTGGCGTGGCAGGAGCAAAGAGTCTGAGGTCAGACATTCAAGGAAACTTCGGGACCTGTGCTTGTCTTCATCTTCGTGCTTTCCTCCCTAAGAGTGCCAGACACATAGTAGACCTCCTGTTAGTGATGATGGTGATGATTGTTCACATCTCAGTGTAAAGCACCCAGCTAGGCACTTTACCTGCATTATTATGTTGAAATACCTTTTTTAAAAAGTATTTATTTGAGAGAAAGAGATCATGGGGGCGGGGGTGAAGGGCAGAAGGAGAAGCAGACTCCCCACTGAGCAGAGAGCCTGATGTGGGGCTCCATCCTAAGACCCCAGGATCCTGATCTGAGCCAAAAGCAGACACTTAACCGACTCAGGCACCCAAGCACCCTATGTTGAAATATCTTAACTACCCTATAACACAGGTACAGTTTGGACAGTTGAGGAAACTGAGGCTCACACATGTAGGGGAAGAGACTTGACCAAGAGCTGGTTAAAGATGAAACCAAGAACTGAACTCAGACATTTGGCTCCTGAAGCACTGAGCCATTCTAAATAAAGAGCTTATCCCCAGGACCCCAGGTGAAGGAAGGTACATTCTGCCAATGAATCCGAGGTCCCAGTGCTGCAGATGTTGTTGGGGCTGGAAAGAAAGTGCCCCACAACTAGATAAGTTAGGGATGCTTAGTCCCATTTTCCAGATGAGGAAGCCAAGGCATGGGAGACGTTAAGCAACTTGCCTGAGGCTGCACAGCTGGTAAAGAAGGAAGACCCTGTTCCAGCCAGACCCCAAAGCTCTGGAGAAGTTCCCAAACTGGGGTGCGTGGGTGGCTCATTTGGTTGAGCCTCTGACTCTTGGTTTTGGCTCAGGTTGTGATCTTGGGGTCGTGGATCGAGCCCTGTGTTGGGTTCTGTGTTCAGTGTAGAGTCCGCTTGGGATTCTCTCTCTCCCTCTGCCCCTCCCACCCCTACTCACACTCTCTCACTCTCTAAAACAAACAAACAAACAAATAAATAAATCAGAAAAGAAAGAAAGAAAGAAAGAAAGAAAGAAAGAAAGAAAGAAAGAAAGAAAGAAAGAGAAAAGTCCCCAAACAAAGCAAACTTGTATTCCAACTGGTGTGCCTCATGCCTGGTACATCTTCTCCTGAAAAATTCCTCAGATTCCCTCTGTTCAAAGTCCTACTTATCAAAATACAAAATGCTTGATAGAAGCTGTTTGAAGGTACAGACCTCCTGTTTTGGGACTCCCCAGGGGAGTCTTGTTCACATGAATCTAAAATCAAGAGAGAAGGGCAGCCCCGGTGGCGCAGCGGTTTAGCGCCGCCTGCAGCCCGGGGTATCCTGGAGTCCCAGGATCAAGTCCCACATCAGGCTCCCTGCATGGGGCCTGCTTCTCCCTCTGCCTGTGTCTCTGCCTCTCTCTCTGTGTGTGTCTCTATGAATAAATAAATAAAAATATATAAAAAATAAAATAAAATCAAGAGAGAAGCCAAAAGAGAGCTGTGGGAAGGAAGGAGGGAAAAAAATCTCTGCTCATTAAGGAGAGGAAAATCAAAACCACAATGAGATTCACACCCACGAGGACGGCCATAATCAAGAAAGGGTCCGGATTGTGGAGAAGGTGGAGCTCTCGTACGTGGCCAGTAGGAATGTAAATTGGTGCAGCCACTTTGGGAAACAGTTATACACAGAGTTGCCATCAGACTCGGGACTATCACTGCTGGATATATACCCAAGAGAATTGAAAATGAACATTCACCCAAGAATGTGTCCATGAATGTTCACAACAGCATTATGCATGACACCCAAGAGGTAGAAACAACC